TTTGTGCTACTCTTGTCATATGTTTAACTGCCAAATATGTTCCAACTGCCACACAATAATTGCGATTTTTACTTTCAACAATTATCTTGTAATGAAATTTAAAAATTAGAAGAAGGAGACTTCTATATTTACCCACATATTTACTATTTCTGGTCTAGGTTTATATCTTGTATCCTGCAACTGGAACAATGTCCCTTTTCATTTATTTTATTGCAGGTCTGCCAAGGACAAGTTCTCTCACCTTTTGTCTTCTGAAAACGTCTTTATTTTGCCTTCATCTTTTGAAGGATACCTTTGCTGGATATAGAATTTTACATTGAGTTTTTTTCTTTCATTACCTTGAAGATGTTACCCACCGTCTTTCTGATGAAAACTTGGCTGTCATTCCTGTCTTTGTTCTCCTGTATATAATGTGTCTTTTTCTCCTCTAGGTGCTTTTAAGGTTTTATCACTGGCTTTCAGCCATTTGGTTATGATGTACCTTGCTATGGTTTTCTTTGTTTTTATCCTGCTTGTTTATTGATTTTGGATTTGTGGGTTTATAATTTTCATCAGACTTGGGATCTTTTCCATGACACTTTCTGAGTGGTGGTGGGCAGGGCTGGTGTTGCAGGGGTGAGCGTGTGGGGAGTGCTCCGGGTGCCATATGTGGCGGGTGCATGCTGTGGTCTGTGGTGCTAGGGTGGCCAGAGGAGGCCAGATCAAGGCACAGTCCAAAGTGAGGCAAGAGGGGTGTGACACAGGGCATCCACAAACCCTAGGTGCAGGGACATCCAATCCAGACTCGGGCTAAGAGGTCTCCTGCTGCACCAGACCACTGGGCCGTCCCTTCACCAAGGGAAGGAGAACAGGGTCTGCTGGACCTTCTGTGTGGGGTCCACGCCCCCTCCATGGACAGTGCAGTCCCTCCTGGGCATCCCTCCCTCCCACTCTCACTTGGTCTTTAGGAGGAGTTCACACGGCCGACTCGGTCTCCCTGGCTCCCTGACCTTTGGCAAGTACTGGGCTAGCCACAGCTGTGCCCTGTGCGGAGGGAACCAGGTGGAGGCCCCAGGAGCAATGGTATCAGCCCTGGTTATGGTTCAGCATCACCTGGGGAGCTCTAACAGGCCCCAGGGTGGGCCCCACTGGAGCCCAGCCTGATTTAAGTAGTCCAGGCAGCCTCCAGAGGCACACTCTCATTTTTAATTAAACTTTTTGAGATAATTGTAGATTCCCATTCACTTGTAATACAGAGAGTTCCTGTGTTCTGTGTACTCCGTCTCCCCCAATGGCAGCATCTACAATACTGAAGTACATCACAACCAGGAGACTGACATTGATCTCATGAAGACACAGAACATTCCCTTACCACCAAGGTCTCTCATGTTACCCTTTTATAGCCACAGCCTCACCCGCTTCCCTTCTGCCCCCAACCCCTTCTTCTCAACTGGCAACCATTAATCTGTTTTCTCCATTTCTATAATTTTGTCATTTCAAGAGTTATATAAATGGAATCAAACAGTATGTATGGACTTGATTTGTTGGGGCCAGGTGTCTCCACCTTCCACAGTTATAGAATCTCCTACCAGTACTGGCATAAAGTCAGACATATACACCAACGGAATAGAATGGAGAGCCCAGAAATAAACCCTTGCGTATATAGTCAGATGATTTTCAACGATGGTGCCAAGGCCATTCAATGGAGAAAAGACAGTCTTTTCAACAAATAGTGCTGGGAAAACCAGATATCCACATGCAAAAGAATGACGTTGGGCCCTTACCTAACACCATATACAAAATTAACTCAAAATGGATCAAAGACCTAAACTTAAAAGGTAAAACTATAAAACTCCTTGGAGAAAACATAAGGGAAAAGCTTCATGACACTAGATTTGGCAATGATTTCTTGAATATGACACCAAAAGCACAGGCAACAAAAGCAAAAATAGATGTGAGACTTCATCAGAATTAAAATTTTTTTTGTGTACCAAAGGGCACTATCAGAGTAAAAAGGCAACCCACAGAATGGAAAAAATATTTGGATATCACATACCTGATAAAAGATTAATACCCAATGGGCCGGCCCCGTGGCTTGGTGGTTAAGTGGGCGCGCTCCGCTGCTGGCGACCCGGGTTCGGATCCCGGGCTCGCACCGACGCGCTGCTTCTCTGGCCATGCTGGGGCCGCGTCCCACGTGCAGCAACTGGAAGGATGTGCAGCTGTGACATGCAACTATCTACTGGGGCTTTGGGGGGAAAAAAAAAAAAAAAAAACTTTAAAAAAAAAAAAAAAAAGATTAATACCCAAAATATATAAAGAACTTCTAAAAATCAACAAAAACCCGATTCAAAAATGGGCAACAGACTTGAATAGACATTTCTCCAAAGAAGATGTATGAATGGCCAATAAGCATATGAAAAGATGCTTGACATCATTCGTAACTAGGGAAATGCAAATCAAAACCACAATGAGAGACCACCTCACACCCCTTAGGATGGCTACTATCACAACAAACAGAAAATAAGTGTTGGTGAGGATATGGAGAACTAGAACCTTTGTGCACTGCTGGTGGGAATGTAAAGTGGTACAGCCCCTATGTCTGTCAGTTCCTTGAAAAGTTAAAAATAGAATTACAGTCATATTTCACTTAACAATGGGGATACCTTCTGAGAAATGCGTTGTCAGCTGATTTCATTGTTGCAAGAACATGGTAGAGTGTACCTGCACAAACCTAGATGCTACAGCCTACTACACACCTAGGCTACATGGAATAGCCTACTGTTCCTAGGCTACAAACCTGTACAGCATGTTACTGTACTGAATAGTGTGGGCAATTTTAACACAATGGTAGTATTTGTGTATCTAAACATAGAAAAGGTACAGTAAAAATACAGTATAAAAGATAAAAAATGGTACACCTGTATAGGGCACTTGCCATGAATGGAGCTTGCAGGATTGGAAGCTGCTCTGAGTGAGTCAGTGAGTGAGTGGTGAGTGAATGTGAAGGCCTAGGACATGTCACTACTGTAGACTTTATATACACTGTACACTTAAGCTACACTAAATTTATTTAAAAATTTTTCTTCAATAATAAACTTAGCTTATGGTAACTTTTTTACTTTATGAAACGTAATTTTAAAGAATTTTTGACTCTTGAAATAACTTAGCTTAAAACACAAACATATTGTACAGCTGTACAAAAATGTTTTCTTTATATCCTTATTCTATAAGCTTTTTCCACTTTTAAATTTTTTTTATTTTTATTTTTTAAACTTTTTTGTTAAAAACTAAGACACAAACACACACATTAGCCTAGGCTAGGGTCATCAGTATCAGTCTTCCACCCCACATCTTGTCCCCCTGGAAGGACTTCAGGGGCAGTAATACACACGGAGCTGTCATCTCCTAGGATAACAATGCCTTCTGGAATACCTCCTGAAGGACGTGAAGGTTGGTTTACACCAGTGTTGCCACAAACACCACTTCACTGCAACATCAGGATGGCTACTGATGTAATTCCATCACTAGGCGATGGAATTTTCCAGCTCTGTTATAATCTTATGGGACCACCTTTGTATACGTGGTTCATCGTTGACTGAAACGTCATTATGCTGCACATGGCTGTACCATTTGACCCAGCAATTCCACTTCTGGGTATATACCCAAAAGAACTGAAAGCAGGATCTGGAAGAGACACTTGTACACCCATGTTCTTAGCAGCATATTCACAATAGCCAAGGGAAGCAACCCAAGTGTCCATCAGGGGATAACTGGATAAACAAAATGTGGTCTATCCACATAATAGAGTATTACTCAACCTTAAAAAAAGAGAGAAATCCTGTCACATGCTACTACACAGATGAAGCTTGAGGACTTATGCTGAGTGAAATAAGCCAGACACAAAGAGACAAATACTGTGATTCCACTTCCATGACGTACTTAGTCAACTTCATAGACACAGATGGTTGTCTGGGGCTGGGGGGGAGGGGGAGAGGTTGTTTAATGGGTACAGACTGGCTGTTTTGCAAGATAAAAACAATTTTGGAGCTCAAATGCACAACTACGTGAATGTACTTAATACCACTGTGCTGTACACTTAAAAATCGTTAAGATAAATTTTATGTCGTGTATTTTACCACAATTAGAAATAAAAAAACAGAGCCACTCTGACAGCCTAGCGGTTAAACTTCGGTGCTCTCACGGCCTCTGCAGCGGGGTTCGTTTCCCTGTCTCAGAACCACACCACTGTTGCCATGCTGTGGCAGCGGCTCACATAGAAGAACTAGAAGGACTTACAACTAGGGTATACAACCATACACTGGGGCTTTGGAGAGGAAAAAAAAAGGAAAAAAGGCAACAGATGTTAGCTCAGTGGAATCTTTCCCCGCCAAAAAAAGGATAAAAACATAAACCTCCCAGCAGGCTCAGAGCACCCACCTCAGCTGGGGGTGGAGGTGGGAGATGGAGTCTAGGGGGAGCCTGGGGTCTTGCCCCTTGCACTCCAGGGAGGCTGTCAGCAGCCGCCCCCCGCCCCCCAACTCGATGGCCACAGGAGGGTCCTAGAGGGAGTGTATGGGTGGAGAGCCAGCAGGCTCCAGAGAAAGGACTCTGCCCGGCGGGTACCTGATTGAGACAGGACGACCCTGGGGGTGGGCAGGGCCCTGAGCAGACAGCGATGGGCCGGACACCAGGTACTGGAAGCTTCGAGAACCGGGGCCTCCAGCACCGGGACACCTGGTGAGGGGACTGGAGACCGACCGCAAGGGGGCCGACGTTCTATAAGGCGGGCGGAAGGCGGGGCGGGTGAGCCGCCGCTCGAGGGCGGAAGGTCGCGCCAGGGTCACACCAGGGTGCCGGGGCGCCGGCGCCGGGATGGGGGCGGGAGGGGGGTGCGAGGGGACGGGGGGCTCGGCGGGATCCCGGCCGCCCGCGCACCACCGAGACGGCTTCCGGGAGGGGCGGGAGCGCCGCTTCCGGCGGCGGGAGAAGCACTTCCACCGGGGCGGTTTGAGAAAGTGGGAACCTGGAGCGGCGGCGCGGGGCAGCGGTGAGTGCTGGTGTCGGTTCGCGTCCCGCCCGTCCGCCGCGCCCGCTCCCCGGCCCGCGCCCTCGGGGTCGGACGGCGGGGCCCA